GCCCGCTGGACCCACAACATTTCATGAGCATGCTACGTGGAACCAACAAAATATTTGGTATTATGTTGTTCTTACAGGCACATTTGCGTTGGTCCCTTTTGACTATTCACAGAAATAATTCAATTTGCCCCATTTACGAGCTTGACTCGCCTCCACCTATTTTGAAAATACCTAGGAACGAAGAAATATCTCACGATCGAACAAATGAACGAGATTTTAGAGATTTTAAAGATGAGATTATGTTGGCATGTTTAAGTATCATTTCAGGGGATAGGTGTAGAGATAGGACGACTTTTCTTTGTCGTGGGTATGCAAGGCGGTTCGTCTTCAACACAGCCACACTCCTTAGTGCCCAGAAACGGAAGAATTGGAAACCCGATTTTTGCCGCTCATCACATTTTAAGCTTTTCCTTCAGTACACGCTTAATAAAAAAAAATAAAAAAATTGATTGGCACGTTGACTAGTGAGGGGTGACAAGATCACAGAATTTCCCAATGCGTGAAACGTGCAGAGGTTCAAAGGGTTTGAACTCCCCTTTCCCAAAAGGCGCATGGAGAGGGAGAGGAATGAGTGCCTCTGGTTGCACCAGTAACACAAATCAGCGAGATCTAGCGAATTCATGGGCGTTCCTTCCGTATTTGGCCGAGTTAGAAAGTCATCGTAAATTGAGAAATTATGGATTAGTTGAGTTGACAAGTTTTTCATAGCCTGCGGCCGCAACCCTACATATTTTGTATTTAGCCAAATTCAGCTTACATTTTTTTGTTCAAATATCATAGTTGGATAGCCGAAAGAAAAAGTGGTCCATCAGTAAAAAAAAAAAACAAAAAACAAAAAAAGGTTATTTTCTCGAGCTGCACAAGGTAAGAGTGATTATTCGTGACAGCCTTCGTAAAAGTGGGGAAAATTGGCATGGCTAGATAGACCAGTTTTTCAATTCCATGAAACCCAAAACTTTCGTTTTTCAACGAAATGAGAATGATCTCAAGTGCACTAAGTCAATCTGCCGCCCCACCAAATGAAATCATGGCTGTTCGCTGCGTTGGACAGTGGCCGGCGGCCAAGACTCTCTTGTTTTAAGACCACGGGGAAAAGTAATTTCATTTCATAGTGTTGTTCGGTTTAATTCCGTAAAACGGCGGCGTTTCGCGATAGTAGTTAGCCAGCTTGACAACGTGACGCTTCCGATCAAGGTGCGAGCCACGGCCAATCGCCTTCGTCTTTCCCGTCTCGACATGCACCGCTAGCTGGGATCGCGATTTGTAGCTCTTCGATCCTTCGGCGACTCGCATCGCAAAAGCAAGCGAGGTTCAGGGACCTCGATTCAGCGTGCGTTTTGCTTCTACGCCGATACTAAAGGAAGTCTCTCGTTCGGGGATCGTTTCGAGAGGTTAAATCCGGGCGAACGTAGGTCAAATGTCGGCGTGAATTTGCGAGTTAGGACTGCAGGTTGACCATTAGCCACTCGACGGACTCGGGCAAAAATTATACATTCATCAAAGGAGGATAGGCAGTGCTAACCCATTTCCGAAAATTTTATCTGTTGCCACGTCTACGAGGATTTCCCTTGGTTGAAAAACCCCTAAGCAACTCAGAGCTTTTTTTGCCAAGCAGCAGCGTATTTGTCGGCATTTAAAGACCTACATTCTTCGGTTGACAGTGACACACCATTTCCAATGTAATGCTGTTTCATTCGAAACCCAGGACTCTTTCTAAAAGTGAATTACCCTTGTGGAACCAGGGCCGCTGGTCAGTGGTCACTCTAGCAATGAGATTCTCATCTGACGTCAAAAAGGACATGCACTCTTGTCACTTCCCAACGTCTACAGGGTGTCCACAAAGCTGACTTCATCTCGAATTCGTTGAGATGTTCCAAACCTTTTAGTTTTACCGAATAAACTCACGATTTCAAATATCCCCAGACAGCGAAATCCATGGGATTTAAGTCTGGGGATCTTGGTGCCCACTCCACAGTTCCTCTTCGACCGATCCACCTGTTTGTAAAGTTTTAAATAAATTAAATTGACTATCCCCCTATGATGCGCGACTTTGTGGACACCCTATACAATGCAAGGGAACCATTTAACCGCAATATTTCTTGAATGCCTCTGGGGGTTTCAACTTCTTCCCCACCCAAAAACGGCTTCTTGTCACTGCAGTGAACTGCAGCAGTGATCGGGGGAAAAAGTCAACATTTGAACTTATTTTTCAGCTGGTTTTGAGTTTCTCTTTAATGTATGCGCTGAGCCACATCCTTGATGAGGGGCATTACAAAGCTACAAGATTCCTTCATCGTTAGTTCATCACCTCATTTAAGAGCATATAAATCAGGCACACTCTGAGGAAGGATTACTCTTGCACTGGCATGTATTCTCAGCAGATACTCAAGTTCTTCTATGAGAATCAAAGCACAGACCATGAGAAATTTCAATGAAATTTCAGGCTACAAAAGATGAGGGCCAGGGGCAACCAAAGGAATGACAACAAGGTATTAAGCTCAATAGTCTTCGTTTCTCAAAACTTGGGGGGAAAGTTCTTCCCTGGTGAGTTTCATGAAGACAGCGATAAAAGAGTTATTTCATTTTGCACCTAGTGATCTGTGGTTGAGCACACATCACATCACTTCCATTAATAGATTCCATTTCCACTTGGTCTTTCCCTTCATGACTGAGAAGCAGTAAACCTTTATTTTTTTTTAAAGAAAGAACTGATCATCTTGATTCCTGGCATGTATCTAATGCAAGGATACATTACATACTGGAGACAGTGACAAAAAAAATTAATATGAAAAATTATCAAAAGGGGGGGGGGGGGGGAAATTTTTCACGAAAGAGAAGGCCACGCAACATCCTGTCCATGTCTCCTACTTTCTTTCCAAAAAGCAGCCTGATTCTAATTTTACTGTGATAGTAAAATGAGGATTATTTCATCCTAAGTTTACTTCAGATTACTTAGACCATCCATTCCCATGACTTTTCTTGTTTCTAATAATCAGTACTGGTTTTTAAAATAAATAGTCCAGCTATGAATGGGACGGGGAAGTCGTCAATAATGGTCGCCCTCAAGGCTCTGGTAAGCTATTATTCACCGGGTGGGATCAGGCTTTTGGATAAACACATGGAGAGCCTAGATTTGAGGTACTATACAAAATACACAGTACAGTGCTTAATATAAATTGATGCACATGAATCTTGAAAACCAGCTGAATTGTCCAAAAACACAGGAATTCACATCCCATGAGTTGAGATTATTTCTAACATCAGCAGCAAAAAAGAATGAATGCAACTCACTTACTGAATTACTGGTGTTGTACTTTCGAGAGCCTTTACTGCACATTAAATGGATTTGATCCATTGTGGTCCTTTCAAACTTATGTAGCGGAAAGATCAAAATCAAAGGCCACAAGACCAAAAGAATGAAATAACCATTATCACATCTTTGATATTCCTTTGATTCATATCTGTAGTGTTTTCAATTCTTTGTTGGTCACACATATGATGATTCTGCCTCTTCAAACATATAAGCATTGTGAAAGAAATTTAAAAAAAGAAAGGTGCTGCACAAATGTGAGCAAGCACTATGGTTCATTATGGCATTATGCATTGAAAATGCACTCCAGGACTTGATGGACAAGACTGAGAAATGATGTCTGGAATCCTCCTCTCAAAGAGAAAGGGTTCCATAATATTTTCTTATACTTCTTGTTCATTTGGTATGTTCTGGAAGGAAAACACTGCATACATTCACCAAGAGTGGAGGGATGCTTGAGCACCAGCACCAGAGAGAAGAAGCAAGAACAATAACTTCTTATTATTTCTTTCCTTCGCCTCTCTCATACACATCGCAAGGTTGTCTGACTCCTCATCATTCACACACTGTCTTGTCTCCTGATTTATCTCACTCTTCCATCCTCAGGCTAAAAAAAAAAAGAAAAAGGGAACAGAGTTACATGGTTTATGGTCAAATCCATCAACAGCCATAAAAGCATGACATCACAGAATTAAATATTTCTAGCCATTATGATGAAGCATCCAAAGTTAGTCTGCCTTCTACATTCACTCAAGTAACATGGCTGAGCTCACAAATCCTGATATATTAGAAAAAAGTGACATTAAAAGAAATAACTGAAATAAAAGGTCAGCTGTTCCTGGATCTGCACTCTTGAGATGCCATCAATTAACCCTTTTGCAGTCTGAAACACCACCATGTACCTTGGCCAAAATATCTGGTAAATGGTTCAAAATTTTAATAAAACTTGGCTTACCATAGCCACCACTATATGTAAAAAATGAATACAAGCTAAGGAATTCTGAAAAACTAAAAATACTCTGGCAATTAGGGGCAAACAATGTTCTATTACCATGAGGTATGCAACCATGATCCTGACTAACCAAAGGCATTGAAGTGAATGAGCTAAACCCCCCATAGACATCACAATTTATGCCAGCAATTTGGTTATCATTGGAAATTGAGGAATTTTCAATACATGCATTTTATCCTGTGAAGCAGAAGTTCACTATGATGGTTTACATTTTAGCTGTAAAACAGCATTTTTAAATATTTAGGAAGTCTCAAAGTGAGGCTGAATTGAGGTTTGCAAAGAGCTAAGACATCAACCATGATATTGGCCATCAAACTGTGTAAATAGGAACTACTGTTTTCCCTATGAAGCTGCCTGGATCCAATTCACATAAAATAAACTGTATATAATTAGGGGGTCCCACTTTTCCACAAGATCTTTATAGACATATAGGTAATGGAATTGAGAGGCTGCACTTCTCCAAAAATTTCTCATCTTTAAACAAAACTTCACATGGAAACATCAAACAATAAACAACAAGTTTATTCAGAGGTGGCAAAATAAAGAGTCCATTCAACACCTCTTCCATTTCAAGGAATTGGGAATGCAGGAACTTTCACAAAATGGCTCAAGAAGCATGCAAGCAGGAAAAGCTCTGTGCTTTCAAGATGAGAATGACTCACCATTAAAATTGGAATTTTATTCCTCTTCTTCCTCCTCTTCATCTTCATCTTTTGTGATATTCTCTTCATTTTCTCTTGTTTCTTCTTTCTCTTCCACTTGTTCCTCCTCTTCTTCAACCTTCTCTGCTCCTCTCTCTTCATCTTCTTCCCTTCCTTCAATTGGAATTTCCTGAATGAGAGAAAGGGACATGTAAAAGTCCTCAAAGAAAGAAGTTACAAAGGACAACTCCATTCATACCTATTAGGTCATTCAATGAAAACACTGATAACTAACAGCAGCTAAAACATAAAAAATGTGGAGCTTCATAGGTACACTTCAGCAGTCAGTGGCAGGTACCAGATGGAGACAATCAATGCCATCCAGATAATACACAGAATGTAAGAATCCTTGGCTTCCTGCCTACATAGAGTTATCATGCTTGAAGTTCAATCCCCATAACACACATAAATGATGGGAATATAAGATAGGATCTCAGACATAAATGACAAGAGAGGACAAACTGGAAGAAAGTCAACTACAGAGTCCTGCCAAAATATGAACACCCATATAAATGAATGTACACTCATTACCAACAAAAAAAAAAGATCACCAAGAAGATGTTGAGCAATGTTAATGAAATTTGGTACACATGCTTATAGTAGTGTCATGACATTGATTAAATTCAAGGGAGTCGGAAGAATATTCACAAAGAAAACTTGCTAAACATTTCAATTTAAACAGTGGAGAGAGAAGCTTTACTAATCTTCCCCTTCAAGCACCCAGGAATTAATTGATGAAATGTGGAATAGGAACTCTTACTGATGTGTGGTAAAATTGAGCAAAGTTTTAATGACAGGATGAGGAGTTGCAGAGAAAACTTGCTGCAAAACCCAAGAAATGGGGCAAGAGGTCAGGGTAATATACTTTTAATTTTTTTGTCAGGATAATATATCTTCATTTATTTTTAGCAGCTGCAATACATTTTTTTTTGCTCTTATGAGAGGAGTAAGAAAAGGTGTATTGCAACTAGAAGTGCCTCAGGCTGAGAACTTCTTGAATCCCCCACATACACTGGGAAAGGAATTATATTATCTAAGAGGCAATTATTCTTCATTAAGATGGGGCTTTAACAAACTTATTTTTTTTTTTTAGACAGGACATGCAGTGGACACAAATGACAATGGACCAATTACAGTAAACAGAGAGGGAGGGGGTGCACAGGCAGGGACATCACTCAACGGTCCTTTAGGAGGCCAAAGGGGCAGCTCATGGGTTGCCTAAGTCCGTGACTGGCACGAGTGATTTTTTAGGGCGAACTACACCCATATCTCCTAGATGTGGCACACGGAGTGGCATGTGTGTTATCCCATGCTAAGTAAACACTCCCCAGGAAAGCAGGTGGGTCGCCTGTCGGCGGAGGAAGAGCCTGCTGCCACATGGACTCAATCCTTGAGAATGCCTCAATCCTTCCAGGTGGCAACCCTCCTGGGTTGCCACCTGGAAGCTAGAACTACGCGGCCACTGAACCCTAGTGGGCTTTAACCCTTTGAAGAGTATGCCCGTATATTTACAGGTAGCACCAGCATGCCCGCCAGAGTATGCCAGTATATTTATGGGCATAGGTTTTCATGCACTGTGGTATGCCTGTATATTTATGGTTTGGTTTAAAATGAGCATGGCAGCTTCTGCTACCTATCAGCAAGTCAAGGAACTTTAATGAGTAACACTTGCCTCAAATTAGGTGATGAAATGCATTTATTATTTACACAGGATATAGCTGATCAGTGAACAGTTGGCCAAAGAAGAAAGTAAATGTACGAAAGAGCAGCAATGCAAGGGAGGGATTCAAAGTAATTTCCTAATGTTGGGTATACATTGTTCGTACAGAAAAAGGCTATGTGAACAATAAGGAATCTAGATTGGATAAAATTAGATAAGGATTTCAAAATTATCTATATACATGGCAGGTATGATGGAAAACGACCCTTAGCCATCACTTGTACCTGCAATTGAAAACACAAAACATGGGCAATGTGTTTTCATTGGACAGAATTTTTTGGAAATGGTTGTTGAAAAAGGTGAATGGTAAGATTTTGTGTGCCTACCTCAGCAATTATTACGAAATTAAGATTAAAATTGTCATAAATCAATACTGTCTCTATAAAATTCATATAATGGTTTGTTCAAAAGTTAAATTACACATGATATTTTAATTTAGTCAAATTTCAATAAATCTACCCAAATGTTGCAATGAACCTTTCTAAGCATACTTCGGAACATGTTTTTAAAATAAACAAAAGGTTTTATCCTAGATGTCACCTCTGGAACATCAAACTATACAATTATATAAAAGCCTCCAAGTCACCAAAAAAACTCACTCCCAAGAGCAAGGTGCATGCTTCAAAACTCCCTTCTCAACAGGTTAACAAACTAACTTTTCACATTTTGATTTCATCAAACCTATTCAGCATGCTTATACTTTTTCCTGCTGTGATATGATTTTTTTTTACTTTCTCACTTTTAGGGCCATGAAACTATTGAACCTTTTCCCCCCATTTTTCTCAATGAAAGTCCAAGGTGATAAGCTTATACAGAGTGAAAACCAATTCCATGCCGAATTTAACTTAAACACTTGAACAATTGAAAAAATCTGTGAAATGGGAGCTTCATTAGAATTGGTAGGAGATATTTAACCAATCTTTGGATGATGGACATTCAGTAAAAGTACAATTACTTAGTACCTACCTCAGAAGGTGGTGAGGTTTCTCTCAAAGGGGAACCATGAGACACATCCTCAATTTCTTCAGCTTCATCCCACTTTCTGGTTTCCTTTTCTATTGATGACTGCAAAGAGAAAATTCAAACCAACTCCTCATGCCCTCACACATAATTTATTTCTCATAATTGCAGGATTGATTGTGGTGAAAGAATGAAACCTCTTTGCTTGAGATGCCATCAGTAAGACCATTTTGGATAGGATGAAATTCCTTTATTTTTGATGCTGCTTCTGCTACCTCTGCTTCTGACAACTTCAAAAAGTTATCCAACTGATCCACTTCATTCGCCTCATCAAAATCTTCATAGTCCTATGAAGAGATATTGAGAGCTCACAGAATTAATGCAGGGAGGTCATTGCTGGATGCCTGACATCAGAACATGAGTCAGCATTTAAAATATTTTTGGATGTATCTTTCACTTTTCAAGTATAAAAGCCATTATTTCAGAACAAAATTGAAAACTTTCTCTGAAATTGATAACATAAACAAGAGACAAATTGATGAAAAGAATGCCATTGGTTCTGCTTCCTAGGGAGTTTTCATACTTTTATTGAAAAACTAGTCTTATTCAACAATACTTGGCCTTCTGATTCAAAATACAATTGCATTCCAGAAATAGGGATAACACACCCCACAATACTCAGACTCATTGAAGATCTGTGGTGGTAATGGATGCTTCTGGCTCCTTGGTTTAGCATGCTGCTGCATGTGTGCTTTCTCTTCCTCACGGCTGGGGTCAGCTATATCAATCACATCATAATGAATCTGTCGGCTGTCTAGAATCAGCATCACACGCTGTTGCCGCTTCTTCACCTATTTGGCAAACAGAAGAGGATAAAAAGAATAGACAGTAGCACATAGAGTACCATGGAATACTGTAAGAGTCTCAAAGTGTCATAACTCAGGTATTTATCATTCTATTAGCTGATACCCATGAAACATTTAAATGAAGGACACAGCTGGAATTTTGAACAGCCATACTTCAAATCAATAATATTGGACGTGTTCCGTCAATTCCTTCCCCTTCCTCCAAATCCCCAAATTTCCCTATATACCAAATTTCAGCAGGTTCAGTGCTATAAGATTCAATTGAGAAACACTGAACCAATTTGGAACTTGAGTATCAGATAAAAGAGGGAAGATGGGGTAATCATATGAGGTGTGACCTACCCTACTATGTCAGGTATGAGGCGTGACCTACCTACGGTCTGTAACCTACCACAACACTTCGGATATGAAGCATGACCTACCCTGCACAGGCCTCTGGAGGGCAGAAAGGATGACGTCGGCTATTATTACAAAGATATCTACACAACTGCTGGCAATACACAGATTCATAAATTTGACATGGCTGAGCAGACTATTCCAAGTGCTCACCTTGTGGTACTATTCATCAATTTTCCACCTCCTATCCTCAATTCAGCAGTTTCTCAGCTATGATATTGGAAATTACTAATTCAAGCAATCCTTGTCTTCAGATCAGTCAGGCTCTGGAGTTACCTGCAATACATTAGGGTCTTCACAATTTATCAAACAAAGAGAGTGACATGAGACCACCATGAACTCGACATGAGTGATCCATTTGCAAATTTAAATTAATTGGGAGGCAGGGATTACTGAATTTGCAGCCTTTGAAAATAAAGAGCATGAGTCATTCATTCCATGTCAAATCAACACAACCTGACCCCCTCAGATTTCCATGAATTTTGCTGAGCTTGCAGGAGCTATTGAAAAACCTTTCCATGCCAAATTGCAGCTCTCTACCTCATGTACTTCCAAAGACACAGCAATATGAAGGTAGCAAAAAGTGACCACTTTTGGGTCAGGTCGTCCTCACTTAAATGATCATAACTTTTGTTCCACTCAACATTGAAAGCTAATATTGGTGTCATTTTAAATGCCTCTCTGTGCCCTTATTTTTAAATTTTAAAAAGTATCTCCTAGTGTTGGATTTACACTAGGAGATACTTTTTAAAATTTGCATTATCTAAGGAAAATGGAGGTCAATAATGCATCTCAGAGAAGCTGCACAAACCTGCAGCATAACTCCTTAAGTGTGTAGAAGGCATGCTGCTTTGAAGGTCGTCTCACAAGAATTGTACATTATGGCAATCTACTCCTCCAAAAAAGTGGAACAGCTTCCACCTTTTCTGAACTTCACTTATAGCTTAGGTCCCACAACTCAACCAAAAAATTATTATATCATAAATTATTTTCCAATCATATCCAAGTTGAAGGAGGATAGATCAGGAAATAATTCTTAGGTCTAAGCACACAAATTAATGGTTATCATATTTCAAATTCTATTATGAAAAAGGTACCCATATACAGACTAATTATGGGTAACTTGTACCACTTCAATCCCTCTTAGAGCCACAGTTATCTATGTAAATACTTCAATATCAAGGCCAGTCTGGCAGAGGCATCATTAAAAAAAATATTTTTAAAAATGTTATGTCAGTGTGATATTTTTAAATGTTGGTTCCAAGATTTTGAATGCCAAACTTTCATTATATAAAAATGATTGAGGTCACACATTTACATGAATTTCACATTTGAGAGCCCATTGTTTCCTTTTAAATTATGTGTTCAACATAGTTGCCAAAGGGTTCTGCATTCTTTTAAACTGTAATATGTTCCTTTTATGACATTTTGGACTATTGGAACAGTAATGGCACTTCATTACCCAGGGGAAGAGGTGAAGGAAACATGAGATGCACAAAACAATGCAATCTCAGAGAATAATGGGGACACCTGAAGTTTTCTCAACTAAGGATGATTTCACAATCTTGTAGAAAAAACTCAACTCTAGAAAACAGTACATTTTGCAGTTTCCTAGCACTCACTGCAAATCACATTGTCATGTGCTAAAGCATGGAGGGCACTATCATCTCCCCAACCCATGTAATTGTTCCACCAATATGAGTTAGCAAGGAATGCGGGGACTACAATATATATATATATATATATATAGGCAGCAGCGTGGCGCAGCGCTTGAATCGGAGCCCCTTCGATCACCAAGTTAAGCAGCGTCAGCATGGGCACAACCTGGATGGGTGACATGGGAAGATCGAGCTGCTTGCCTAAGGCGGTGCTGGGCACTTCACCGATAAAGGGCGGATGAGACTCTAGACAGTCCAACGGCCGTGGTGCCCCATGGATCAGAGGATCACCATGTGCACCCAGTGCAACAGGTGGATGTGGCGCATGCGCCTCACCTGCCAGGTCCTCACACTCATGGAAACATGATGATGCCACAACTAAGAAAAATTCATACTGGCTCGGCCGTCGCCCAGGATAAAAAGGGCCGCGCTGGCTGCAGGTCTCCCGGTGCAGTCAGTGAAAAGTTGGCGTCCGGAGGCTCTCACGTTCCTGTTCCTCACCAGGCAGAAGTGGGAGTAAGGGCTACTGGTGAAAGCTCTGTCCCAGGGGCCGGGGTTGACAGTCGACCCTCCTCTGCTACAGAAAATATGCCCCCCGCACGGAAACGTATGAAGTGGACAAAATCCATG